GCCCCCGGGCCCAGAGCAAGAGGCTCCGAAGGGTCCGGTCTAAGCATCTGCCTGCAAGGCAAGTCATTGATCTTGAGCATCAAGGCTCGCCAATCGACATGACATAACATAGGGTCCATGTTGAGCATCCAGGCGAGAAAGGCTCATGATCGAGTTCTGCGAGGCAGTGCTTTCAGGCCGGGTAGCACTCTGCGAAGAAATTATCTGCAGGAGATGGTTCGCCGTAAAGATGAGAGCCCGAAAGCTTGGGCCACTGCGAGATGCCTGCCCACGCGCGGCTGCAGCAAAAGACTTGCCTGATTCGCATCAGAGCTGCAGTGAGCGGGACGCAGCGCGGAAGCGCGCAGCGCGGCAGCGCGTGCCAAATGGCACAGTGCCAACTAATTTGCGAGCCGACAAAAGTGCGATGCACACAGCTGCTGTCAGCTCTCGAGACTCTCGACTTCTCGGAAGCCGCAGGCTCCAGGACAGCTGGCACATCTCTTGAAGGCTTATCAACACACGTCTCCGGCAGTCGCATTTTGACAGATGCTTCTCGAGCATTGTTCTTTTCACTCGGTGACGTCGTCTAGATGTTTTTAGAGTGATTTTCCGTGCACCTTCAGGTCATAGCGGGTGTAATTATTCATATCGTTTTTCTGCGACAGACCTGGATGTGCATGCGACGTGTGTCGATGCAAGTAAACGCAGTACAATCTCCACCCCTCCATCTGTATTTTGCGCTGTTTTTTTCGAATCTCGACACCTTCGCATGTGCCGTGCTTCTGCCTCTTCCTGGCCAATGATTTCCACAGCCGGACGAGGCGAAGCTCAAAGCGGAGCCAGCTTTTGGTTGACCTGCCTGGAGGGCACGGGCAGCCGATGTATAGCCTGGTATGATTGGACCAGTGATGGACCTTTGTGCAGCAATCCTGTGACCTGCCTATCGTGCTGGGCTTGAACGGTTCCAGGCCGCGTGCATGCTGGAATTTATTGAAGATTCTAAGATGCTGCAATTGAGACGCACCTCAAGCAAGGAAGGGTCGATCAAATCCCTGAGCGTGAAAGACTTTCTCATGATCGAGCTTGCTTGAGCAGAGCCGCCGACAATCCTCTTGCCCAACTGAGCATCCTCCTCCAAGTAGTCCAGAAACCCAGAAACTGAAGAGGAAATAGGTGTTGCAGACGGGTCGCGACATGGAATGGCACAGAAAGTTGTCTGAAGCTGATCGTCTGTTGCTGTGGCCCCGCTCCAGAAGGTCGGAGAGAAACTTGTCGCTTGCCAGGTGCAAGTCCTGTTGCTGGTGGGCATCAGGTAGCTGCCCTGCGCTCCTTGCGTTTGGAAAACCTGTATGTCTGCAATTAGTCGTGCAAGGAGTTTCTGTGCAGCAGCCGCTCCAGACAATGGAGTGTCTTAGCTTTCTCAGCGACTGTGTGAGTTGTTGCACGTGCTGCTGTTGCAATAGAGGCAGCAGTGCACCCTCCACGGGTGTTCTCGGCTCGGAGACAGGTTGAGCGAACAAAGCTCTTCGGCAACATCAATGCATATGCATACTTTTTCGCAGCTGCCGCCTCAGCAGAGCTTCAGGATCTCCCAGAATGCTTGTCAGAATCCAACAGTGTTAGGAGCTGCTTGTGGGAACGCCACCTCAATCAGCATCGGTGAGAGCCTTAGCTGAATCCCCGCAATTTCTAGTGCCACCTTAGTCTTCGAGCAGGGCTCAACCTCTCAGGAAAAGTGTCGTCGCTCTGCTTCAACAAGAATAATTGCAATCATACCAGGACAGTCAGCTGTGCCACGGAGCTTGTGCTCCGTGCACATTGAAACACCACGGTTAAACCTCCTCCGACACGGAGAGCGTCTGCAAAATGCATTAGCTTTTTTCTTTTGTAACCAGCGCATGCGAGTCAAACGGTGAAACAATACATCAAACAGACTTGTCTTAGCCGCAGCTACTTGCAGGGCGAACCGACGGTTTGAGCTCAGGTCATAGTTGACACCGGTAGTGCACTCTGTGGTCGCATCCCCGGTTCTTGATGGACTGTCAGCGACCCTGACTTTCAGGGACGCTCCGTTTCCGTGAGCAGACAGACCAGCTTGTGTCGATGTAGAGATCACTACACGGTGTCGATGTGAGAAGACGAGGTTTCCCATGTGCCGGCTGTAGTCGATCCGGCAGTTTTGCTAGCAAGCCGTTATGAAAAGCTTCCATGCGTTCTTGCCAGGCCACTGCGGAAATCATCTCGATCCGCCTTTTGACATGGAGGCCGTGTGCCGGCGCTCCCCAATTCCGCATCCGTCTGCTCTCTGGCTTCGCGAGGCCTCAAACACATCCAGAACGTTGCCATGTGGTGCGCAGCCTGAGCTGCAATGAGTATGTGCCCTGCGCCGAGCGCAGGTCCAGACTGCAACCGTTGTGATGCAGCTCGGTGTGGGTACCTGCAATCCTACTCTGAAGGATTCAGAGTTGTTCAGCGCCACAGAGTTAGCCCATGCTCTATAGTCGTGTCTGCCCCCTCCCCTACAGCAGGAAGCAGTATTTCTGGCATCTGGTTCCGTGACCTCGTGATGCTAAACGGTGATCGGCACTCAGCATGCCATGCAGATGAGACCTTCTGTGTAGCTGCTTCACTTGCTGCGAATCTGTGGCAATCTGTGGCACCAGCTGGCGACGCACCCTGCACCAGCCGGTGCAGTAACGCAACTGTGTGCAAAGCTATTTCTGAGAATCGACATTCGTTCTGTGTGTTACACCTAGCCCATGTAAAGTATGCAGTCATTCAGAAGCTTGCAAGAAGCGCAGAAGTGAGCTCTAAAAGAGAAGTCTTTCCTTTGGACGCCATGGACTTCCAGCGCAGACGGAATTTCCATGTGGTTTTGTTCGGCCTGGCAAGTTTGGTCTGCTTGCCGCTGGGCTTCGTCGGGTCTGTAGCAAGATCGCCTACGGGGACGCCAGGGAGGAAGTTGCGGCGCATCTCCGCATCGGCTATAACCCTCTCCCGCATACCTACAGGCGAAGGTCTGATGCAGAAAATAGATACGGAGACGCTTCAGCGGTTAGAAGAGGCCGATCTCGAGGTGGGCATGCCCGATATGGGTGACCTCGAAGAGATGACAGCTTTGATGGTCGACTCTTTCGATCGCATGCTCGCCAAGAAGCGCTGGGATGAATCTAACCCCTTCGCAGAGTATGCGAACGCCTTCATTGACGCTGACGAGACCGACAAGATTGCCAAGGGGATGCAGATGCGACTTGACGTATCCCTGCAATATCAAAACCTCCGCCGTCCGGTTAAACAGGACGAGAGCATGGCACTGGTGGCCCGAGCAAAGCAGGGCCCCTTGGTTGCTTATGTGGAGCTTTGTGTCCTTGCGAACGATGGCCGTCGACCTGAAGATGATGATGAGAGCCTCCCTGAGGGAGTCACCAAGCAACCATACTTGAGCAATCTTTGTGTCGCTCCTCCCTTCCGACGGTCAGGTATTGGAAAAGCATTACTCAGAGTGGCGGAGGATGTGGTCAGATACATTTGGAAAGACAGCAAGATGTACTTGCACATTGACGAGTACAAACCTGCTAGATTGCTCTATGAATCGGTGGGATATGCTGCAGTCGGCGACACCGACGCTGAAGGTGTGACTCACATGATGAAGGAGCTTCCTCCAATCGAAGAAGAAATTGATGATGACGAGGGTGAGGACTACTTTGTGTCCGAGGAGGACCTTGCCAACATGAAGGCCATTGAGGGGGGCAGTGAAAGGTTGGCACTAGGAGCAGGCAAGGATGCATAAACATGCTGTGTTGGCTGAAGTTGCAGTACATTCAGATGAAGGTTGAGAAGCATGTAGATGAAAAGGCAGGTAGCCTGACAAGAGTCAGACAATAACGTCTTTAACGCAGTTTTCCCAGCGCCGCAAGCTTGCTCATGTCACCTGCCCATAGACGCGCACTTGATGACCGGCATGAAAGAGCATTTGGCGCAGAGCAAGCTGCGTCTCGTTATACTCGAAGGATCCGACTTTGTCCTTCAGGAAGCTTCAGCGATGTCGCAACACTGTCTGGCATTCGGAAAAGAGCTGTCAACTACATGCTGCATGACTCTTGGCTCGCCGACCTGCTGCATCTCTGAGTCTGATGCCGACAACCACCCGGTTGAAGCCTCCTTGGGTTGCCATCTGGATGAGCCGGAAGCTTGGCGCATCGTGTTTGTTTCCTTCTGCAGATCGGGACCACACATCGCACATCAGTCAGTGCAGGCGGAAGCTTTTCTACACCCAGAAGGTGGGAGTGCGCCGCATGAAGTCGAAGTATCACTAGTGGAGATGTTGTGGGCTTTAATGTAGTCGTTACTTGGCTGCTCTGCTGCTGTGACAAGCCAAGCTCCGACCAATCATCTCACTCAGTAATGGCACGGATCAATGGAAGCAACATCGTATCGGGTTGGCAAGATACCAGCAGCGTCCAGTGACTGATGCCACAAATGAAGGCAGTCGCTGAAAGTACCTGCCGCTGATGCAATCAGACTGATTGATCGCTGGTAAGACTTCGAAGGTGAACGGCATCTTTGGCTTGGCACCCCATGGCATTACTGGAAGGTCCAATGTGCTGAAGGAGTCGCATGTGAATGTGTCTCTGGTCTCGACATGTCTCTACGGTCTGCTGCGAGCAGGATCTTTTCAAAGACAAAGCCCATGTCAACACTGCAGTTCATGCGCTGAGTCTTGCAAGTTCAGCAGCACATTGCGGCTTGTGCAATGCGGAGCTACCAGTTTGTGTGTTCATCTACATTATTCGAGGTCTTTGCCATCTGCCTGGCAGAATGGGGTGGAGAGTTGAGTGTGGGTGGCGCAGACCTCAGCAACTTCCGAACAGGTGTACGCCGTGAGTTCATCCAAGCTCAGGCTATGACACAAGATATGCAGAGCTTGGCGCCCGGATGCAATGGCTCCCCTTGCACCACGCAGGGTGCGCCGCGTCCTACACGCTACGTATGTGTTTATGTATGTATGATTATGTAGGTATATATGTGACATATACATGGTACCCCCCCGCATTGAGTCCTATTGACCGACGTGTTTCTATTCCGAGACGAGGGCGAGACTCCGTTCATGCATGTCCTAAGGATTAACTTTTAACTTAGGACTGACGAGTCAATAATGCAAGGAGAACAAATATGCGGTCCGATATGTGCACATGACTAAGAGTATCACCAGCACCGAAAAAAACAATTCAACAGCCACACCGCGCTGCAACACACAACACAACATGCACAAACACACAGCACCGAGAAGCAAAGATCGACGAAGAACAGCAATCACAGAACGCCATGCGAAAACAACCATCACCGCCTTGTCACAACACCACAGCCAACAACCACAAGCACACAACTGCCACTAGTTTGAGTCTATAGCCAACAAGGCTGCAGACATTGAGTTCAGGAATGTTTTGATTTCATCTTTTGGGTTCCATGGGGCATTGGGTGTTGATCTTTTTGTTTTGGGTTTCTTTCCTTTCCCGCCGTTGCATTGTTGGCTTTCTTTCTGCTCTACAGGAAGTTTAAAACTGGTTTGAAAAACATTGAACGGTCTCCAACGTGTTATTCGCTGAACTGTGCAGTTTCAGCAGCAGCACCGCCTGTCTTGCTCTTTCATTTCCATACTAGGACATGTCCTGAACTGCTCCAGCTACATGCATATGTTAAAGACTGTGTATGTACTTGAGTGTAGCAAGTGCTATGATAAAGTTGGAGCCCTGGTGCTCATGAACCTAACCAAGACAAGGAAACGGCGTCAGTCCCGTGTCAACTTTCTTACTGTACTTCCAGTTTTTGGCACTTCCTCGAGAAAGTTTGAACATTTATTTCTCTCATGAATTTAACGACACGGGATGCAGCTAGCCGTCCCTCTGCCTATTTCTAGCCGCACACTCTCGTAAATTTGTGCAGTTATCCCGAAGCACAGATAGGCAAGTACGCAGATACACGCATAGGCCCATAGATATGCCTTGGTCCAACACAAGCACATGTATGGTATTATACACATACATAGCTGTATCAGGCTATATCTAGGTATCAGCCACAGCGCTCAGGTGCCCACTTAGCTATAGCTGTATGTGATTCTGTACGACGAGTTGTTGATCATTCGTTTCTTTACCGATGCATACGCTGCCGTAGTCCGCTTAATCAGCGGCTGTTACGAAACACGAAAAGTCGCTCGCATGTACGTAACCAAGCAAACAGCATAGTCTTATCTCGTCGCTTTAGCTTGTGTGCTCGTCATTGTTTCCTTATGAAGGATAGCATCTGTGGCTGTAAATGTTTGTGCATCTCCCTCTGCCCGACTAGCAAGCAATAGTGACCTGATGCAAGCGGAACTAGCAAGCAATAGTGAACTGATGCAAGCGGAACCAAAGCAAAAACACACACACACACACACACAGACAGACACACACACACACACACACACACACACACACACACACACACACACACACACACACCCACACCATCCCACACCCACACCCACACCCACCACACACCACACACACACACACGCACACACACACACACACACACACACACACACACACACACACCCACACCCACACCCACACCCACACCCACACCCACACCCACACCCACACCCACACCCACACCCACACCCACACCCACACCCACACCCACACCCACACCCACCCCCACACCCACACCCACACCCACACCCACACCCACACCCACACCCACACCCACACCCACACCCACACCCACACCCACACCCACACCCACACGCACACGCACACGCACACGCACACGCACACCCACACCCACACGCACACCCACACCCACACGCACACGCACACGCACACGCACACGCACACGCACACGCACACGCACACCCACCCCCACCCCCACCCCCACCCCCACCCCCACCCCCACCCGCACCCACACACACCCACACACACCCACACACACACCCACACACACACCCACACACACACACACACACCCACACACACACCCACACACACACACCCACACACACACCCACACACACACACACCTACGCACGCACGCACGCACGCACGCACGCACGCACACGCACACACACGCACACACACACACACACAAACACACAAACACACAAACACACACAAAACACACAACACACCAACACACAAACACACAACACACAAACACCACAAACACACACACACACACACCACACACACCCACCCACCCCACCCACACCCCACCCACACCCCCACCACACCACACCCACACCCACACCACACCACACCACACCCACACCCACCAACCCACACCCACACACCCACACCCCACCCACACCCACACACCCACACCCACGCACAAACACAACCCCACCCACACAACCCACACCAAACACCAACACCACACCCCCACGACCACCCTCCCCGGCCCCCACCCCCACCCCCACCATCCACCCCACCCCCACACACACGCACACCACCCACAACACCCCACACACCACACCCACACAACAACACCCAAACACACACCCCACCACATCCTATCAACAGCGCACACCCACAACACAAACCCACACACACACCACCTACCACCCACACCACACCCACACCCACCCACACACACACACACACACACACATGGTCATCCATCTCGCAGCCAGTGTTCTGTTGTTTATCAAGCCATGCTTGATGCATCTTGAAAGCATGAATCTTTCGGGGTTCCGGAACCAATCGGGACTTATAAGGCTCACCAGTCGAATCTGGATACGACAGGGGGTCTGTCCATTTTGCTAATCTTGGCACCACAGGGGGCTGCCGTAAGCGGTGAGGATTCCAGCTGCTACGACGGACCCAGGAATTCCTCATGAGGGCCACCAGCTGTCACGAAGACCCAGGTGCACTCTCCCCCCTCTGTTTCTCAGATTGTTCGACTCCACATTTGGAGCCGCGTGTGTTGCAGTGGTCCGCACCCAAAGTGGGCGTCGGCGGCACCGGTGGCCGAACAGCGTGGATGCAGCAGCTGGAACACTTCCAGATTTGAGCTGTGGGCGGACTCATGGGACCAACAGAGTTTGGTCCAAACAGTCAAAGTCCATGCCTTTCTCAGGCACAGGTACGTTCTGGAAGAACCCTCAGCAAGCATTCGCGCTTGCTTGAGGAAAGCCCACTGAACTCGGTGGGAGTTGAGCGCGCCTACAGATGCACGGGTGCACAGAGGATGAAGGAGCGTTCCCATTCACGCGATCTCATTGGGTCGCACAGCTGTGTTGCTGCAGCTCTTCCAGATCCAAAGTAAATCTTCGACACAGACCCGCGTTGTGCCAACTGATGGTCGACAGATGTGCGCTGCTTTAACTCTTGCTGGTTCCACAGGGAGGGCAGGAACCCAGATTGAACCGAGGTTCCTGAAAAACTATTTCTTTTTCAAGATCAGATTCGGCAACCTGGGCAAACTTGGGTTGAACGTCAGATTCAACCTGGCTTCCAACCTGGAGTTGAACCTGGCTTTTTAACTGGATTGGAACCTCGGTTGAAACCTGGATTTGAGTTAGGTTTCGAACCTCATCTTGATTCTGATTTTACATTTGTGCGTTTTTTCAAAAGCGGGCTCTGGAACGATTTTGGCGGCCTTTGTGTGTCTCTGAATTTTCATGTCTTTGAATTTCTTCTGATTTCGCGTGAGCGAAACAGGCGTGAAGAATGGGCATTTCTTGAACGATTTCATGCGGCGATCATGTGTCTCAAATTTTCATGTTTTCAATTCTGTTTTTCGCGTTTGAGCCGAAAAAGCAATTTCGTGGGCATTTTTTTTTCAGTGGCATCTTCTTTTTGTGAAGAAGCGTCTGTTTACGTTCTTTTTGTGGATTTCGCTTTGCACGGTTTGGGTTTGCAATTTACAAAAAAGCGGGGGAGTTGCGGGGCGCACCCCCCATTGAGCTTTTAAGAGCGGGCCCCACTGAACGATTTTATGCGGCAAGCATAGCAACAGCACCTTGCAAAGTCCCGCAGTCCAGAGTTCGGGTCTGCAACCCCCAACATGCTCGCCCTACCGATCCGTGCCTTCCCGTTTCCCCCCCACTCACCCCCACCCCACCCCCCCTCTCGCGTGTCCGTGCTCGCCACTCCCCCTTGCCCTGAAACCCACCGTTCCCGCCCTACCCTCCACCATCCCCCCTCGGTACGTTTCCACGCCCGGTAGTCTTCGTTGGCTGAGGTACCAGTGACTGGCCTTCAGCCCCCTGCTGCTTGAAACATTGAAGTGGAAAACTTGTTCCTTTGCTGTTTCGATAAACAGCATCCGAAATCATTGTTGTCTCTTAGTAACAGAGTTCCACACACAGAGAAAGCCACGTAGGCGATGAAGCTTGGGGCCTGGCCTCCTACTGTCTGAGGCCTGGGTTTGGGCCTCCTGTCGTTTGTGTTGAGGCTTGGGTCCTGGGCTCCTGTCGTCATCTGTGGGGCTTGGGTCCTGGCCTTTTATTGTCTTCAAGTTGAAGCCTGAAACCTGGCTTCCTGTTTTCGGGGAGGCTTGGGTCTTGGCCTCTTGCCTTTTTTCGGTTTACAGCTTGCAGTTCTGCGCTTCGCGCTCACTGCAAGTCTTCGTCTGTCAGGCTTGGGTCCTGGCCTCTTGTCGTCGTTTATGAGGCTGGGGTTCCTGGCCTCTGATTGTCGTCAAGATGAAGCTTGAAACCTGGCCTTTTGTCGTCGGTGAGGTCTGTGAGGCTTGGGTCCTGGCCTCCTGTCGTCGTCTGCGAGGCTTGGGTCCTGGCCTCTGGTTGTCGTCAAGATGGACTGAAACCGCACCCCTTGTCGTCGGTGAGGCTTGGGTCTTGGCCTCCTGCTCCTGTCTTATTTGCAACTTGCAGTTCGGCGCTTCGCGCTCTCTGCAAGTCTGCAGTTGTGGGGCTTGGGTCCCGGCCTCTTGCTGTCGTCATGTTGAGGCTTGGGTCCTGGCCCCCTGTCGTCAGTGAGGCTGGGGTCCTGGCCTCTTATTGTCGTCAGGTTGAGGCTAGGGGCGTGGCCTCGTGCAAGGCGCAAACAGATGCCTGATCCTTCGCACAGCGGCGGCTAGCTAATCTTGGCACAGGGGCCGATTGCACTATAAGGGTCTAATTCATCGCA